CTCGAATCATTCGAGGAATCGTTTCAGCCCTATCCATAAACTTAATCCAATAAAAACAGGAGAGGTGAGCTGAAGAGAAGAGAGAATAAGAGATAAATCAAGACTCGGTCTTGATCTCAGGCCTGAGCAGATCATTCAAAGAATCGTCAAATCTCTCTCTCTCCCTCTGTGTTTCCAGGATTGTGAAATGTTTAAGACTAAGTGTTGATCTACTGGTAAAAGGGGACAGAACAACATATTAACATCGGAGGTGCCAGTAAGTGAGGCACCAGTTATTTTGCAGATTCTGTAAGTAAGCAACGATTCAGTAGACGTCATTTAAAATATCCAATCTCTAGTTTCACTTCACATCTATGAACAAACATTGGGTGTTGGTCACGACTTATGAGATATTTAAAGCCTGGAATTAGGCTCAACTCCCCTGTGCTTCCTCTTCCTCATGTCTTTCCCTTTGGCTTGCCTTTCCTTATCTCCGCTGACCGTCTCCTCCTCTGGTTGCCCTCCATCCTCTTCCTCCTCATCCTCCCTCAAGCCTCCCTTCCCTCTCCTGTCGCCTGCTGCCCATCACTGCCCAAACAGGCAGCTAGATCTGCAGCAGAAATCTGAAGCGTCACCAATTATAAAAAAATAAATAAAAATACTGATGTCTCACTTTTTAATATGAAAATGCCTCTTTCTCACAGTGGAACAGTATGCGAAAACCCCTAAAACACAAAATCGTTTATTGGTTAACTATGAAAAATGCCTGTTGGCTCAGAGTAGAAAGGCATTTGTGAAGCGGCGCAGACTTTGACCGGCTCTGAAGGTCACACTGACATACGGTTCACAGAGAAAGCTTTCTAAACACTGGACGCTGACACTTGAGGGATTTCAAATGTGTTTCCTCAGCTATTTTTGCTTAGGAAAAATTAGCTGAGCAGGAAAAAGGAAGAGCTTTCTGAAACAAGTTTTCAATTCATAAAATATTAACAGTAAGCAAAAGACAGAGCTGTCCTTTATTCTTGATAATCTCCTGCTAATTTTAGAAGGAAATAGATTCAAGGAGTCTGGACATTTTTACAAAACCATTTCAAAGGTTTTGGGACAAATCAGGGATAGTCATTAAATGGAAAAGTGGTGAACCATTCCAGGAGTGGTTGACCTGTTTACCGAAAAAAACAACAAAAGAACCCCAACAAAAGCTATTTTGGATTTCCCAAAAAAACGTCCCAGACTAACAAAGCAAAAACTGAAACTTTTTAAAACAGAATATAGAGCTAACAGTCAAACATGCTGGCGATCCGGAGCTGCTTTGCTGCTTCAGATCATCATCAATCTGTGAGGGGTATTTATGGGCATAAGCCAAAGCACATAATGATCCAAATCGCAGCAGGAAGTCTGGAACCTAGTCAAGGTCCAGACTTAAATCTGACTGATTTGGGGCATTTACGATTCATTTGAGATTGAAAACCTTACAATTTACCAGGATTAAAACTATTCTGTATAGAAGAGTGAGCCAAAATTATTCCAATCTATTATCCAACTCATTGCAATCGACTGATGCTGTTCCTTCAGGCGACTCACAACCAGCTACTAGATGTAGGGAGTAATTATTTTTTTCAGACAGGACCAGATAGTTTTGGAAGGCCTTGTGCCTTTAACAAATGAAAACTGCATTTTGCATCATTCAGTTTAGCTTCATTTGACAATAAATTTTGAAATATTTAGGCAAGACTAAAAAGTACAGATGAAAACATTATAAAAAGATTCTCTTTGTCCGTAAAATGACTACAAGTTTAATTAATTAAAACCTTTTCAAAAGAGCTTCCAACACATCCAGTACGAACTACAGCATTGCCTCACTACCAGGCCTCTGCATGTACTCGATGACATGATGAGGAGGTGATTCTTATTTTAGTTTCCAAACTGGAAATGACCACAGTTTCATTTCAGAGTGTGTGAAAAGCAAAACAAATAATTCTTTAATAAGCGTAGAGTTGAAAGCTGTGAATTAGAGATTATTAGAGCAGTTCTCTTAAACTTATTCTTGGCACAAAATAAGCAACAGGAAAGTCATTTGAGTGCTTGTGCTGCCATTTCATCCATATCGAAGACTACCACTGCTTCCGAGTTTCGATGACATCATTACAATTCCACTGAGCACATTTTCTCATCGCAACACTGCAGGCACTAAAGTTCAGATTTGCACTTTCACCCACTTCCCAACTCTAACCGTCCTGGAAAATGTCCAAAACTACTCAGAAAAAGCTCTTGAAGCACGTACATGACTGGGTTTTCAGTCAGTAATTCAAAGACAAAAATACCGATAGCTGCAGTCAACATCATGTTGTCTTTGTCACTGTGAATGCAAAACGTTTCTGATGCAAAAAGCTGCAGAAGTTGGTGGCCATTATTGCAGCTGTCTAACATTTTTTGCTTTGTGAATAAAACTCAGATGATGTAGATCGTGACCAAAGAAATGCACAAAATCTAAATGCAGTTGGGTTGATTTCCTAGCCACTGGCTTCTTCAGCACAGGGGTTTTACTCATTTTGGCTTTTTCAAAAAGAAAGCGGTTGTCAATTTCCTACCTCTTCATGGTGGATGCCAGTGTATTGACAGGGTTCCATGCCACACACTCCAACTGAGAGGTCATTTGATATAAATTGTCACCGCTGTGGAGGAAAGACAAAACGTAGAAGAAAAGCTCGTGAGCTGCTACTGATCAAGAGGCTAAAGCTGTTTTGCCGTTGAAAATAGTTGGTATAGAAAGACCGGAGATTAAACACTAAGAATTCCTACGTTTTTGCATACCAGACTTTTTTATTTTTTTTATTGGACGTAACAGACTGCATGATCATCGCTCAGACTGTCCACAAATATGTGCACGCACAATTTCTGTATTTTCCAAGCTGTAGATTTATAGCCCTCAGTGCCTCTTTTACAGCACCTGCAGGTTCAGCGCAGGTTGAATGGAGGCGAAGTGGTGCCTGGTACCTAGCTCATTACAGAGCTATTATTCTACAGTACAGCAGACAGGCAAGCAGCCAGGAGATGCTGAAAGTATTTCTGCTGAAATATTGCAAGATCTGACTAAAATGATTCAAAGCGGGGGGTTTTTTTAAATAAATTTTTTTTAAATTTATAGTCTCAGTTGCTCATGGATAAAAGTCCACCTTCTATACCGGCATTTTATAATTTTTTTTTGTTTAATTTGTCCTGAATACACAGTTTGCCCCCAAAGAAATCCAGTTGCAGAGGAGAAATGCACATTCTTTTCATTTCTTTACAAAAATACAAGAAAGTGTTTCTGTATCCAAATGATTTCCTGTTGTATTTTGTAAAGAAAACAGAGTGAAGTTCATAAAAGTTCACTGTTTTTCTGTAAGTGTGTTTCTTTTGTATTCAACAAAGATATGAGTCAATTTCATTACCATCCTGCAGTATTCTGATGTTACTTTTAGGCCTGCGTTTTGGTTCATAAGCTTAACACGTGAAACAAAGAGTCTACAAATTATTGAAAAAATAAATACCTCCATCGTTTACTGTCAGAATGTAACATCTCAATGACCGATGCGACAGGAATTAAAGCAAAAAACAATGTATATATGACAACCAAAAAATAAGTAAATCATATTAAACGTTTTTATTATAGCTTAAGTGTCCATTGACCATTGACATATCTGAACATTTTCCAGCCGCTACTGAGCCTTACGCTTTCGTCTACACAGGCTTGACATCGAGCAAAACACAAAAACAATCGGATGTTTTAAAGGCTTTTATCAGCAGATACATAAACTTCATGCAAACAGTCAATACTTCCAGGGCTGATCCTTCTTCTTCATAGGTTCTGCAATCCTCTCTGACGTCTCGGATACCAGTGTTTGGACTCAGTCCTGACTGATGCTGTCCCAGTCAGCCGTGTTTTATTGAAGTTTGGAGTTGACCACTGTTTTTTCCATGGGTTCTTACTGCAGTTAAGATCTGGGGAGTTTCTCAATCGCAGAAACAAAATGTCAGTGTTCTGATCTTACGAGTCACTTTGTTATCACCTTTGCCCTATGACACAATGCTGGAAACAAAGAAAAACAAACTGTGCCTGGAAAGAGTTGCTCTGTCAGGAGGTTTCCATCCCACTCTTTATTCACGGTAGGTGCTCTCGGAGGATCAAGATGCTCCATTGGTTAAAGCAAATAGGACTCATGATCTCCCTTTTTCTTCTCTGGACAAATGGATGCACCGGACTTATCTCAAAATCTCTCATTCTTGTTATTTTGAAGTGTCTTTTGTTTTGCTGCAGGTTTACTCACACCCACCTGCTGCCACTGTTGAGCAAACTCTGCCCCGGTGGTAAGTGCGAGCTGTGAGTCTCTCTTCGTTAGGAAAAGACGATCGTGGAGCTTGTTGGACTCTTGCCTCTGGTGATGAAGTTCTTGATGACCAAAACGTCTTAGCAGCAGTTTTCTGCATCTGAGGCCATCTTGGTGCGAAGTAGTGAAGGCTGCACACTTTGCTTTGGAGGCAGCCAAGAAGACAACAATTTCTCTTTTTTTTCTTTCTAAAAAATTAGACTGATGATTAAAATGCTCACAGCTTCCCACAAGGTAGTATAATGATATTGACTTTAAAAAACAATAAAGGTCTTTGCAGAGAACGATATCCATGTCGTCACTTAACTGGCTTGATAATTTTGGGAAGGTTGTGAGTTGCCACCATCAAAACCACAAAGTTTTCAAAGCGCCACATTTTTGATACTGCAAAAACCTTTGTGTAGTTTGGCAATAAATTGTTGTTTATTAATTAATAGAACATCCTGCTCAGTTTCAGACTTCTCATTCTGTTCCTTACTTTGATAGAAGCCAGAGAGCCTCTCGTTTTCTCTCTCTGCTCGGATTAATAAGCCCTGTGCGTGTTTCCACTTCATGTTGTTCCAAGCTGATGGCCTGGAGAGTAAATACAGGCCTGATGGTACCAGGCTGCAAGATTAGACCACTGACTTCACTCACATGAGCCTTCCCAGTCATGTGTGTTTATGAGTGTGTGTGTTTGCGTGTGTGTGTTGTGTCGATATCAGTTATGTTTATGACAAAGACGAACCTCAGACTAGGAGAGTCAGGGCAGTCTTTCTCCCTTTAAAACACACTCTGAAGCCTCAGTATTCATCCCCAGGAATGGGATTTTTTTTTTCTTTTCTCGTTTTCCATTTACAGAAAACATCGGATCAGTGGCATGTAAAGAATTTCTCATTTAGAGACAAAACAACAAACTGTTTGGGGAGCGTGTGATGAGGAGGTGCGCCTCCTAAAATGGTACTGCTCATTAATTTCACAGCCTCAACCCCATGTTTTATTACATCTTTGACACGGATTGCCCGAAAGTTCAGAAATCTGTCTGAAGTAGATACAGCCAAAGTTATCATTGTGGAACATTAGCAAAGTAAAACTCTTGGTCTTTTGTTTCCAAACTGCACAGATCTGTAGATCTGCAGCAGTATTTCACAGAAACCTTTGGGAGGTGCTTTGACAGGAAGTGGAAGTGTGGCAAGTTTTTGACTGAGCTTATTAGGTAAAAACTGGATAGAAAACAACCTAATGGGAAAGAGAATTCTTATATGAACAAAAGTATGTTTTACTGCAGGCAAAAACTTATTTTATCGATGTATTTTTTACATTCTTTGGCTATTCAGGTATTTTACATGCAGTGCTTTCATTTCTCTGATGTATTTTAAATAATTTTAGTTTCCTCGAGAGGTGATAAATGATGCCTTTAAAAATCTCACACAACTGAAGTAGTGCTGAGTACTTATAAGCATAAAGTACGTATAAATCATAAATCCCTCGACCAGGCCGATGAACGGTCATGGGTTGCGAGGCAGAGTACAAAATGGACAGATGACTATGATATTTGTCAGAGAAGACACTTCAGTCAGCTTCATCAGCTGTAATATTTTGAAATCTTACAATGTCCCGCTTATCCTGTTACAACCACAATTTTCAAAGAAATATATTGGGATTTTATCTGACGGATAGAAAGAAAGTTGTGCATAATTATGAAGTAGAGGCAAAATTATGCAAGGTTTTCAAATCGTTTTACAAACAAAATGAACTGATACTTTATGGAACAACAATCCTTTCCAATTGCAATTGCATGTCATTTGGGTTGTATTTCAATGAACCCTGTAGTTTGTGACATTTTTGCCAATTCTAACTTGAAAGTTTAGTCATCTGAAAACTAAGGGTCCATAATAATCAATGCTCAGTGTTTGAAAGAGATTCTAAATAACAATTAAGTTTGGACTTTGACTAGGTCATTCTAACAAATGAACATGAATTTTAATTTTAGTTTCAATCTTACCCGACGTTTCTGAAACGCACCTCTGAGGCCTTTGCAGAACAGCTGTATTTATGCCAAGACTTTTCTTTCATTGTTACCAGTCACAGTGTAACATCACACTGTTGTGATGTTAGTATCAATCTAAAATTATACACCTGATAAAAAAAAATAAAAAAAAAACGCCGTCGCTCACCCGAAAAGCAATCAAACCACTTGTGGAAAAAGAGAAGAAAATATCCCTGGTTATGAATGAAATTAGCGAAATCACATTTGCCAACGCAAGGAGAGACTCAAGAGTTCTCACATATTGTGTTTCATCCCGGAGATTTTTTTGCAACTAAATGAAGAGAAAAAGGAAACCAAAGGAAGGAACACAAAATTTAAGAGGAAACCACAGAGGCAGTCGAACCTGTCCAGAAGGTGAACATCCTGTTCAGAGCTACATCCTGCTACCTGCCACTGAATTACCGCTGTTTGACCAAAACAATCAACAATGGATCCAGAGCTATTTCCAGCTCCGGTTTTTGCTGTTTGTTTATTCTGAGAACATATTTTGGAGAGGGTGTTTGGGATGTCGTAGAGGTGCAGAAGGCAAATGTTTGTGTGTTACCTGTTGTAGGGGTTCCTCAGCAGCAGAGCCTGGCTGCTGGCGCAGCTGTCCGACGGTGTGTGACAGCCGTAAACGGGAGGCGGTACGGGATACTGCTGCTCACCTGGAACACACACACACACACACACACACACACACAGTCAGGGACGGAAAATCACTACCTAGATTATGTGAAAACACACCTTCAGAGTTGTAGTTTGAGAAATCTCATTCTGAACTCTGCACATTTAAGAATATTTGTTCTTTTTTTTTGAGAATAATGAACCAAATGTCCTCAAAGGAGGTACTGGTATCCAGAAATTGCACTCAAGTAAGAGTTGCTCTACTTCTATATATTTTTACTTAGCTAAAAGTAAAAGAAATGATCATCCAAGAAATTACTCAAGTGAAAATAAAACAGTACTACACAAAAAGATTACTTAAATAAAGTGAGTAACCGATGACATCATCAGTACTACACAAAAAGATTACTTAAATAAAGTGAGTAACCGATGACATCATCAGATGAAAACACATAAAATAAAAACTATTTTATGTGCAAATTCTGGTAGTTTAAAGATAAAGCTGGCTGACTGAAACATGTTTGTTCTTCATTCAGTGAAGTTACTCACAGTGGGTTGAGAATCCACCAATTTTACTCAAGTAGGTAAAATTGTAATTATTAACATCTTACTCAAGTAAAAGCAAAAATTATGGTGCAGTAAAAATACTTCTAAAAGTGTGGTTTTTGTTTTGTTTTTGTTTTTTTTGTTTTTTTAATTACCCAAGTAATTGTAAGTGAATAAATGTAACTAATTGCTACCTGACTGCGGTACTTGAAACATTAAATTGAACTGTTGGTTTCTCAAATTAGAGTAAACATATGCTGTATATGCAACTTTACAATGATTGTTAGAAGAAACATTTAAAATAACACAGTGGTTACTGAGGTAAGTCCTTGTCTCAATTTGCAAAAGTTTGTGTATCATTCAGTCACAAGTCAGCTGATATAAATGTTGAAACTACTGAGACTGGAGCTCCATCCGAAGTTAGAGCACATTTTGAAATGTGCTTTCTTTCTTCTTTATATTTCTATGTGTTTTGTTTTGTTTTTGTTTATTTCATTTTTTTTATTATGTTGTCTTTAATAAAAGTGAACCAACTAAATGTGCGCGCGTTGGTGTGAAGGGTTCAGAATCTGTCAGACGTCTGCTACGTCCGGATGAGGTACGTTGCTTTTGCAGTCACAGCATGGTCTCTTTTTAAATTATCATAAAAGTTCAAGCAACTTCTGTGTCCCTAAATGGCCAGGTTATGATTTAGTAAGCAGGCTACAGTTTATCCTGAGGGGTATACTGGTCTTTAAATTAGATGAGAAGCTCAATTTACTAAAGGAAAAATGTCAACGGTTTAAAAAAAAAAACACTCATAATATAAAAAAAATTCGAGTAAATGAAACATGGCTCTACATTGTGAAGCTGAAGCTGGAATCCTAATAGGAGTTTCTAAATCAGAACTAAAGATCTATTTTAATATTTTTAACTGAACCTGATCTGCATTCGGTTACTTGTTGCTCCAAGTCTATATTTGAACCGGGAAGAGATTATTTTAAACAGTTTGAGACTCACAAATCCCCAGCGTTATTAGCAGAACCACAGAAAAAGAGTCGTTTCAAAGCCGTCTTAACACCGACCATTAAAGACTGAGACGAGTGTAATGTTGAAAACAAAAATATAAAATTAAATCCCTAATGTTTAAAGAAAAACTCACTCTGGGAGCAGCTTACAAGAGTTGTCACTTACTCTTTCATACATCACTTATTTTTTTTTTATGATACTCAAAGATATTCTTTTGTTTTAGCTTTTTCTGTGTTTTTTTTTAATTTTTTCAAGTTGGTCGTTTCCTTTGGGAAATTATTTAACATTTGTTAGAACTAGATCTCATGAGTTAAAATGCATCTGAAAAGATTAAACGACCGCAAGCTCCCTGAGAGCTGATGTAACTCACATGGCGCTTCAGAAATTCAAAGTTTGGCTTTCCTTCTGGAAACTTGTCCATCAGACCTTGTGAAAAATGGGTACGAACGGCGGATTTAGGATGAAGCGCTTTCCTGCTGATTTCTCTGTGGCAACCGAACGGTTTCCTAAGAGTCCCTCCACTTTTATCACCCTGGTTTCTCGGGAAGTGTATCAATGATGAGAATTTGCCAGAAACTGCAGCTTTGATTCCAAGCAGACTCTCACATTTAAATGTTTACTAACAACGTGCAGAGGCGAGGGACTGGGGTTGTGGGTGGATGAAAGAATAGATGAGAGACGGAGTCGAGGGAGTTTGCGAGTCAGGATGTGGCTGATTTATACCTCTGACAGGCAAGGTCACAGCAGAGACGTCAGAAAACGGGACAAGACACTCCCTGGGCGAGGGCCGGGAGGCTACCAAAACGCACGGCCCTGCTCTCACACCGGGGGCTCGATGTACACAGACAGCATAGGGCCTAATTGAAGCAAAGTTTGACTCTTTGTTGTTTAACAAAAGAAGATCAAATCGGCATCAACTCTGGGTGAAGTAGATACCGAAGGTGAACGTTGTGTTTGCTGTAGTTTTCATTTATCAAAATCAATCAACGAGGAATAATCACGTTTGGGGAATGTTGTTGAAATGTCGCTCGACTCACAAAAGCCATAAACTGCAAGCGATGCTTCGTTCTAAAGAAAGGTAACGTTGATGACCGATATTTAAACCAGCACAGTGGGAATGACTGAAGCACAAACAAATTTAAATGTCAGGTTTTTTTGTTTTTTTTGGGGGGGGGGTTTGTTTTGTTTTTTTAAGGGAGAAATCCCTGCAATGCTGGGCTAATATTTAATACAAATGTTGCATATAGTTTTGTAGTTAATAAAATAATTTGGTGGTTATTGACGTTTCGCCAAGCCTAAATAAAAGTTTCACTGTACTATAAAAACAGTTTAAAAAGTATTGTGTATTATAAAAACTAAATTTCATTAAATCATAATGCATTCAAGATCCTGAAACAAGCAAAATAAAACACATTGTAAACAACCGCTAAATGTACGGTAGGATTTCTGCTACTTCTAACTGCAAGTGTTCCACCACAAAGGGTGGCAATTGTACTTCTTCATATGACCAGGTGACTGAAAGTTTATTTTTCAGATATGTAAGGAAATTACTTTACTAAGTGATGAAGTAACTCCCAAAAACCTCTTATGAAAGCCACTTATCTCACCACATCATTTAATTTCCTCCACCTGACTTGTCTAGTTTTTTTTAAC